ATTGAGATAGGGAGATAGTCAGTGGTCAGGGATGTATGCCTTACTTGTTCAGGGAACCTGATTCAAACTCCAGTCCCAATTTGACCCCTACCCCCACTGGGTGTGGCCCTGGTAGGCCCCTAAGCACCACTGGGGTGTCCTGCTAGTCTTCAGTACTATCAGTCCTCATTGATCAGGGATCCCCAGGATTGGCTCCCAGGTCCCCTGAGCACTGCTTGGGAACCCCTTCCTAGTAATGATAAAATAGCATATTGATCCAAATCACAATGAATAAGAATGCGTCAGTTGTTTTTATTATTTACAAAAATGGAAGAAGGTAATTCTTTCCATCTTAACAAAACTTAATTTTCATAATCAATATTCATCAATAAGACAATCTCTAAAACCAAATCTTTATTAACTGAGCCATATTTTTTAGTTGGTCAGAAGGAGGCCTTCCAAGTGGTACTAACATACTCTGGGACCACTCGTGGTGATTCTTGGTCAACTGGGTGGGAGTTCAGTGCTAGGGCCCACTGATGTGGTGCTATTTGGGTTTGTAGGACTGGGGATCACCCCGGTCACCACGGCTGTGCTCAGGATCAGGAAAAGAACCAGGGTTAGCAACATGCAAAGCAGTATGTGCCTTAACCCCAATACTATCTCTCTGATCCCAGCTATATATTTAAGCAAGGGCATTTTGCTATTTAAAGGAATCCCTTAGTATCATCTTTTCTGAAGTAAGCACATTTCAAAATTCCTCATTTCATGTACTAAAGTAGATTTCTTGAAGCTACAGTGATATTCCAGCTGTGGTTATAGCTGCAGCTTTTCACTCAATCTTTTGAGACAATGAGATTTTTATTTCCAGTGATCTGTGCCACTCAGAACGAGGTTGTAATATTTAACAACAATGGTTTCTTGGGAAACCCGAGAGATGAAAAAATTTTACATGGCCTTACTTAACCAGTGAATGTCACTGGCTCTGTTAAGTCTTTTCCTTGGCCCTGGAAAGCTATTGTGTTTGTTTTCTCGTAGGATTATCCCAGTTTTAACACACTGAGAATTTTATTGCTGTCAGATGTTCATCAGGACTTCTAGTGGGAAGAAGAATGCTTTTAATTGAATGTAGACTTTCTCTTTTCAGGTATAGTTGCAAGAAACTTCTATTTACTTTATTAGCATTGTTATTATTACTAGAAAACCAAAGGAGTTGGCTAAGACTAAGACACAAATCACTCCAGATGAAATCAAGATATAAAATAAACTCCAAATATATATTTGAGAGGTCATGTGGCATTTACTTGTCATATTGAATGATAAACAAAGCATTAGAACTGTATTACTTTTGTTGTTGTAAGAAAGAATTTACAGTGATAGTGACTTGGCAAACTTGGAATCCTAACATTTCGCATGGAAGACATTTGTAACATTGAACGTGTTGATTATGTCTAAGTCAGTCTTACATTTGAAAAACACATAGTGGCTAGGACTGTAGCTCAGCAGCAAAGCACTTACCTGCCTGTGTGAGCTGCTGGGTTCCATCTTAAGCATTATGGAAAAAAAATCAAAGAAATAAAATGACTCACATAGTATAGGGATAGAAGCCGAAAAAAATGTATATATCTCTGAATCATTGGATTCAGAGATAAACTGAGTAACTGTAACATTGGATAGAATGAGCCAATTTAGTTTAGTATAGGAAAATATATTAGTTTGGTGTAGCTGAAATATAATGGTAATTTTAGGTGCATTATTTAAGACTGTTTGCACACACAAACAAATGGATTATATGCAAAGTGGTTGCATAACTTATTTATCTTCGTTTTAAACTGCCTTGCACATCCGAAAACAATTTTGCAATCAGAATTATCAGCTCACTAAGCAGCAAGGAGTTTGTTTTGTTAATTGCTCTTGTTAAAGCTAATTACTGTGGGGTGGGGTGGCTTGTAAAGGGGAGGAAGGCAAAAGACTGGCAGGGGAAATTTTTAGCAAGAGGTCTAATACTGGGAGGTGCACATGTGTGAGAGGACCAAGGCAGGCCTCCTAAATCACTAAATCACTTCTGCTTAGAGAACTTTTGGTTTTGGTGCACAAACTTTCAGGTGCTATTGTCAAATGTAGGTGCCTCCCTTTTATGTCTTTGGCATCTGATACGGAAATTTTTTAGAACTTATCTTCTTTCATATTTTTACTTATTTATCACTCCTGGCAGTGATCAGAGATCATATGTGATCAACGTATGTGATCGTATGTGATTGCCCGGCATCAAACCCTGTACTATCTCTGTGGTCCTGATTGGGATTTTCTTTTTCTTTTTTTAAGTTCTATGAACACAAACAGAATGTCAGTGTCCTTTTGGTAGAAAAGAGAAAATATCTCCTGGAGCCTACCACAATGCTGCTTTCACAGGTGGGACCTGAGAATCATTTTTTAATCTAGCCATTTATCACACATTAATCTACACTAATATAGACCAGGCCAACTGTGCTAAGTGCTGGATTTTTTGAGATGTCTGAGTTTGCTCACAGCTCAGTTAGTAAAAGAACATAAAGAGAGGTCCCTGTTCAGTGTGATGGTAGAGCATGAACAAAAAGAATAAAAAGAAATGAATCCCAGAGGCCCCATCTGGATGGGAAGCCAAATGTCAATGGTTGGGTCGAATACTATTGTCTTTAGCAATGCAGACTCCTCAAGGACCCAGCAGAAACCAAGCAAATGTCACACCCATCTCCACTGGTTGAAACTTCTAAAATGAATGTTTGTTTCAAAGAATGTCCCCAATCACTTATAAACGCAGATGTTCAACATGTACGAGCTTTTGAAAGCTATGTTCTCACACTGACTTCTCGTTTGTCCTAGTATTTTGGAAAAACTCCTGCTAAGGAATAGAGTAACATTATGATCAAGAAACATTTTCTTCCATCTAGAAAATCCCTTTTCTATTTGTGTAACTTACTTGTTAATGAACTAGAGGCCAATAAGGAAATAAACCTTGAAATTGTTTAAATACATCCGGGGTAGACACCAAGATGAATTGGTGTCACTTTTCTGATGAGTGAAAAGCTTTGAGAGAACATTGAGTCGAGCGGTGAGGTACCTATGATTAGACCTTTCTGGCTAGAGGAATATGTTTACTTTTTCCACTGGTATTTATACTAGTTAATGTGTTGCACCAGATAAATCTACTTCCTGAGTCCATCTTTCAGCTTGTTCTCTTCTCTTTGGAGCTGACAAATGGTTTGCCTTTGACAGTTTATCAGTTGAGCCCCTGCTGGGTGCTGCCACCCTCCCTCTCAGACAGACGACTGCAGGGGAAAAGTGAGTTATCTGCAATACTTTGCTTCTAGTTCCTTTCTCTAAAGGAGGATGTGTCTTTCAGGGCGTAGATTGCCATGATTTTGAGGATTTGTATTGCCTTTGCATCTGTGTTTTCTGCTCTTGTATTTTTCCAGCAATGTTCCTAGTTTGTTTTTCAGTAGGGTCGTTGTATCATTAAAAAAAAAGACACAATTTTTAATTTTTCAGAAAGACAAGATTGAACATCTTGGGTGGTTGCTTATCATGGCTGAAGAATACTAAAATTGCTCACATTTGATATACGCTGAAAAAATATGGTCACCCCCCAATTATTATAATTCCAGAGCTGCTTCTTTTGAAGAAGGCACAGGGGAGCAGGCAGATTCCTTCATTTTAGTTAACTGCTTCACAGCTTAACACTCCATTCACACTGAAAGATGAGAAATGTGAGTGGAGAGGGAGAGGAGATGCAAAATGTTTATAAACATGTATATTGACTTATTTTTGGTTTCAGTACCACAGCTCTGCACTCAGGGATTACTCTTAGGAGAAAAATACGTGGTGCTAGGGATCAAGCCAGGGTTGGCTATGTGCAAGGCAAGCACCTTAACCTCTGTTTTGTGTTTTGGGCCCCAGGATGTTTTTATAAGAAAACTTTTAATTATATATACTTTTCATTTTATTTTCAAAGAGTTATTCACAGTAATTGATTATATTCAATATTTCAACACCAATCCCACCACAATTACACCTTCCCACCACCTTTTAATTATATTTTATAGTACTTAAAAAAAAAAAGAGAGAGAGAGAGAATAGTATGATGCCCCCTATTGTCCAGTTCAGCAATTATGAACTTAATAACACCTGGGTTGTTTTGTCTATACACCAATTTCTATGCCAGTGTTTTTGAAACAGATTTGAGAGCACATATTGTGTGTGTATACATATATACATACACACAATATATACATATATATATATGGGGCAGTAGAGAGAATACAGAGGTAAGGTACTTGCCTTGCACCTGACAACCCAGGTTCAATCTCCATTACACATGTGGTCTGTCAAGCACCACCAGGAGTAATTTCTGGGCACAGAATCAGGAGTAAACCCTGAGCACTGCCAGGTGTGGCCCCCAAACCAAAATATAGCAATTATAATAGCAATAAAAATTGATAAAACAGTAGACTTTAAAATATTTAAGTATATATGTGTATATATACATACACACATAGTATTTAATATACACATACAGTATATATATACTATATACATATTGTGTGTAGAGTATATACACACTATATGTGCATAGTATATAGTATATATACTCTCTATACATACATATACATATATGATGTAAGGCTTTTTCTTTTGAAAACAACCAACAACATATTATGATTTATTGTTGAAATTATTATGAATTTCAAGCCTGTATTTACTTATCATTTATTTTGCGGTGCCAGTGTTGGAACCCAGGGCCTCACACATGCAAGGCAAGTGCTCTGCTGCTGAGCTACATCTCTAACCCCCAAGCCTGGATTTTCAATTTTTTTAATTATGTTTACTTTTTTGTCTTGGGGCCCCCACCTGGTGATGTTTCGGGTCTTATCCTGGCTCTGTACTCAAGTATCACTCCTGGTGATACTCAGGGAACCATATGTGGGGCCAGGGATCAAACCTAGGTCAGCTGCCTGTAGGGTAAGTGCATTATCAGCTGCTCTATCTCTCTGGCCCTATATATTTTTTAACATGTCATCCTTATGCAAGGGCCATGCTAATCTTCTCTGTATTGCTCCAATTTTAGTATATGTGCTGCTGAAGTGAGCGCATCCCGTCCTATATATTTTTTAAAGGACAGATTATGTCACACTCTTGGAGTGAGCCAGTGTTTGAAGAGCTGGAGTCTAGAGTAATTTTCCAGCATTAAAAATAGTATACGAGAGGCAAAAATTAATTGCAAAGATGACTTTGCTGAAGAAAGGATGCCCATGAAGACAGGCACCAAATAGGCCATTAAAGCTCTGTTGTTAAGAGAGAATTCTATCCTTTGGGGTGCCGTGTGAGAAGAAACGTTTTGTTCTGAGTAGCTGGTAGCAGTGGCTCTTTGTCTACAGTCAGTTATTCTGAGAGGCTGAGTTTGTCTTTACTCTAATTTATTAACACAGATTCAGGGCAGGAATTGCTGTTTCTACTACAGAATCAGCCAATAGCCTACTGAATAATGTCTATTACAAGCCAATAAGGAAATAACATATCCAAACCAGGGATAGATTAAAGCAAAGGGAAAATAAAGGAACAAAAGTTCAGATTTAGTTGAAGTGAACCTTTCGACCAGGTCTGTTGAGTTGACTTCCCCAACCAAGAGCTGCTGTCCAGCTGCCAGTGAGCCTATCAGATCCCGCTGCAGAGGCACTGTGTGTGACACAGGGACAGTTCCAGGGTTGGTGGATGGGTGAGACAATTTCTTACACGGGCTGCTGCTGGGGCCTTCCCTCTGCTGGAGCTGATGCCCTGTGGTTTTTCAGTGAGCTGTTCGGATCACCTCCAAGTAGCCTTGCCCAAATACTCTCATAAGTTTTTGTAAATACGTGATTCCTCAAGTCCCTTGTCCTAGATCTCCTTCTTAAGTTCATATTGATAAACACCACAGAGCACAACGCCAATGACTCTCCTGGCCAGGTTCTGTGGCTAAGACGGTCCTGGTACCCAGATTCAAAACAATTTCATCAAAACAAGTTATTCAATAGTTCAAACCACAAACAACTAGATCAGAAAAAAAAAGGGATTTGAAATCTTAAGTCACCACACAACTGCAGTATCATCATCTGCAAACAGACTGAGACAGATTCATTTCCCATAAGCACATGCAGACTTGGTTGCTAGCAGTGATCTTATGCTGGATCTTAAGTGTGCCCAGTGCCACTTGTTGAGTCTTAACACAGGCTGTAGTTTTGTTATTGACTGTGCCCAGGAGTGTGACTAGCTCCTCTGATCAAGAACCTGTGTGAGGCCTCAGAATTATTGATTTGAATGGAGCTTTCCATTCCATCGTTCACTTCCCCCACCAATATCTTTGCTTCTCCTCTCCTCAAGCTCTGAGGAATAGAAGAAGAGCACAAAAAGGAAAGGGGGTCCAGATGGGAAGACAAGAATGCTAAAAAGGTTCAGTAGGAAGTAGGTCAGGTATCTTGGAGATTAGAGGAGTGTTTCATCCCTGAAAGCAGGAGCCTGGGACAAGTAGCATTCAATTAGGAGGAATTAGAACAGCAACTAGTAGCTTGGATTTATCAGCCTTAATTGTCTATTGTCAAGCCCAGCTCTCCTCCTGAGGATCATGGTGGCAGTCTACATGCTAATACTTTTAATGGACCTCCATTGTGGGATTATCTATCTCTAGAGACAGTGTCTCTACTTTTGAAAGAAGCTCCTCAGGAGCCAGCCTGAAAAACACAGAGCTGCTGCCTTCCCAGTGATTGGTGCCATTCTAGGGTAATGCCGGGCTGCCCTTCTGCTCCGGGGCACCCTTGAAAGGGGAAGATGCCTATTGAATATTAACTGCTCTGGCCCCGGCTTCCCTGGTGTGTACTGCCCCCCAGAACAATGGGCTGTCGATGGAGACCAGATAAGGCTGGCTGTTGGCCTCTGAATCTCCACACTATCTTCTTGTTAAAAGGTTTCCTGGTTTATTCTTAGTCAACATGAGAGAGTTTTTCAAAAGATAAGGTGTCTATTTAAATGAGGGTTCTCATTGTATTCCCACTAGCTTGTCTTTTCTTCCTCACCTCTCAACCCTTCAGGTGGAACGGAAGGATTCTCAGGGACTCCCTTCAGCAACTCCAATTGGGGCATTGAATTCCACTCGGTCAACACCTACCCTTAAATGTTTTGTTTGGTTTTGTTTTGTTTTGTTTTTCCAGTAGGTGCATAGCTCTAGCCCACTTTAGAAGCCCACCTGCCTGTAGTTTCGGGCTACTGCAGTACAGTAACACTGTACTGAAAATTCTGTATAGAACTCTCTACTGGAAATTCTGGTTCTGCTCTCTGCTCTGAGCAGCAGCATATCTGCGAGCTGCCATCTGCCACGTTCGCTGTGGGATGTGAGGTCCAAGTATCAAAAGGAGGCCGAGCAGATATGACCTTTCTACCTCCTGACCTCTGGCCCTCAACTTCCTCAACAAGAAAATGAAATGTCAGGCTGGATCTTTGGTCTTCAACCCAAGCCACATAAATCCCCTTTGGGGCAGAACAGTAAGATGGGGCATCTTCATGTCTTTAGACAGATGAATTAAGTATATCCCTTGGGACCCTTCTCCCTCTTAAGTGGGCAGTGCAAACACTTGCACGGTAACCCCCTTACAATCCTGTCTTCTCACTCATCCTGAACAATTCAGCCTCTGCTCCTTGAATCCTCTCTGAGAAAGGAGGAAAAGGGTAAGAGTGCCAGCTCAAGGGGCTAGAGCACATGCTTGGTGTGTGGAGGTTAGCATCCGATCTCTGCCACTACAGCGTCAACATGTAGGCCCTGAGCACCAAGTGCGGCTCCCCCCAAAAAAACACAAAAATTGTTTAAAGAAAGGAGAAGCTGTGAGTACCATTTTCAATAAGAAATCATTTTTCCTTGATTCATTGTTCAAAATCTTGCAGTTCTAGGGGAGCACAGAATGGCAGGCCCAAGTTGGGGGATGACACTTTTTTTCTTTTTCCAAGAGGACTGCACCTGCCCCTATAGCTCACCTGACTGACCACTAACCACACAAATGCTCTTCTGGCTCCTGTTTTGTTCCCATTTTAAAGTCAGTACACACACACACACACACACACACACACACACTCAGCATACACACCTTTCCTCTTACTCTAGTAAAACACTTCTATCTATAGCCTTTAAAAAAATTCTCCTAAAATCTCCTTCTCGTCTGTATGACCTCGGGGTCTTCCTTCTCCTGTGTAGAAGCTGTTTTTCCTTTTGCAGACACTAAGAGGTGAGAGAAAACTGCATTTCAGCCTGTACCCCTCTTCTGTCCCTGTCTTTACTGACAGTTCACACTTGACTTCCTGTCCATTCCATTGTCTATACCTTTTCCCTCCAAATTTAAGATTGGGAGATACTTTCTGGGTTCAGATATTCCTTCTCCTTTCCTTCCTCACAGCCTTTTCAGAAACACAAACCCCTTGTCTGAAGAGTCACTAGAAGTATATGTATATATATATATATATATATATATATATATATATATATATCATTAGAAACAACACCAAGTATTGGAAGACTAGCTTGGTTTTCTCACAAAACGTATAAACATGATGTCATTTTCTGGTGTTACTGGTTAAGTTGGTAGCTGTCCAACTCGATACATAATTTAAAAATAAATAGATGGGCCGGAAAGACAGTATAAGAGTTAGGGCACTTGCCTTGCACCTAGCCTACCCAGGTTCTATCCCCAGCACAGCATTTGTTCTCCCAAGCCTCTGCAGTAGTAATCCCTAAGCTCAGAGCCACGAGTAAATCCTGAGCACTGCCAGGTGTAATCCAACTGCGCTCATCAACCATCAATGGTTCAATAGAAACAAGTGACACTGAGATGGGATGCTACAAGACAGTTCTGTAAATACTGAGATTTCAGACATTCCTTGGGTTTAAAAGAGGCCTCTGGATTTTTTCCAGAGTTTAAAGTACTTATCGATCCTTGCTCCAAGGGAGGGATCATCTCTTAACTGGTTCTTCTATTTGCGTAAATTCTGTTTCTCTTACTCATAAAATCCAAACTCTCACCTCACATCCAAACACCCATAGCCCTCGAGGAGGATCCCCCCCCAGTAGAGTTTAGACCCCAGAATTGGGGTGATGAGTTGCGTCACTGGAAGGGAGGCTGTGCTATTTTTAAATTGCTGCAACACATCATCGAAACATATCAGGCACATATCATACCAATGACACACAGGCCGCATTGTAACATGGCATGTGTCATACATACATTCTCTCTCACTCACACACGTACTTGTTCTTCTCGTCCGGCTTTAAAGAAAGAAAGCAGCTAGAAAGCTGAGACGGGGACTGGAGTTGAAAAGCCTGTTAAAGTTTAAAAAGCAAGTGTCCCTCTGGTTCTCAGGCTGGCTTTGAGACATGTGGGAGGGCTTCAAAGCTTTGGTGCCCCTCTTTTAGAGCTCAGGCTTGCAGTTGGTCCCCAAATGTTTACCAGCATGAAGATGCCTAACTTACAGGAAGTGGGAAATGGGTGTGGGGGGTGAGGGTGAGTGGGTGGGTAGGGAGTGGGGAGTAGAGGGTGGGGGGTGTTCTCTTGATGTGGTTAGTCTGTCATTGACCTTGTTTGGGTAGAGCAGACGTTGAATTAGAAAATGAAAACACGTTTCATCTTGGGCACATTTTATTCCTTTTTTTTGAAAAAAAAAAAAACTTTCGTTAGGAAAAAAATTATTTTTCCCCCCTAAGTAGAAGGAGGTGTTTGTTCATTGGGAATTCAATATCTCTTCCCTCTAGCATCATTTTCTTTTCCGACACAGTTACCTGGCTGCCCAGACTGCAGTTCCCAAGACTGGGGGCCTGAGGAAGGGCACAGGGACTCAGGATGGATCCCTCCTTGCAGGGGCTTATGGACCTTGGTGACTAAAAGGGGTGGGAGGTTACTAAGAGGCAAGTTGCTGCCACTGTGAACATGCCCAGTGAGATAAATCCTGAGAAATGATGATTAACAAAGGTAACAGCAGCGGGTTATTTATTTATTTGGAGGGGAGGGAAAATAATACAGTAACTGAAAGTGCACTCAGTTATTCTTTAGAAGCACACATTCGAGACTCAGTGCCAGCCTCCAGAAGCTGTATGTGTACTCAGGGACAAATGTCAACAACGCCTACTTAGTCAGCATTCTAAATGCCATGCTTAGGCCTTGTACAAGGGATGCATAAAATCAGAAAGTTACTCCCTTTTCCTTCTCCTTATCATTTTTGTGCCGGACAATATGTTAATATGATTATATGGTATGTGTGTCCTGATGATGGTGTATATTCCCTATGGTGTGTGGGGGGCAGCAGTCACACTTGTTGCAAGGATCACTCCTTGGGTGCTGGGGACATTCAGCGGCCAAGACTAAACCCACTCAGGACCTCTCATGCACTTTTCTACACTTTGGGTCACATCCCTGGTCACATTCCTTCTTTGGCTTCTGTGCCTTTCATTTTTAATTATATTCCTGCCTTTTCTTGATTGCTATCAATGCAAAAAAAAAGTAGGTTTGGTGTGGTATTTGGGGCTATCATTTTGAGACAAGGAGCATACATGTGGGAGGATTTTATCTTCCAACACCATGTCTCCAAATTTACTTTCTTAAAGTTCTACTCGTGGCCTTGCCCAGCTGGGACAGAACACCTGGAACTAATTTTAGGGTTGCCTGGCTAAGCCCCACACTGGTATTTGAAGTTTGCGTCCTCCCCAGACTCAAGCCCATTTCACCACCTCTGAAGGTGAGTGCAGGCTGATATTAATTAACAGTGAGTTGATTCACTGGCATCTTCCAGTCATTAAAGTAAATATTTAGCTTCAAATAGGCTCTTCCCACCTCAAATCCCCAAACATATTGCCTGCTCCCTTACACCACGGCGGCTGAGTCAGCCGCACCAGGCCGGTGGCTGTGGTCTAGGAGCAGAGTTTGATGCCCAGAAGGACGGGAACAACTCCATCCGCTGTAACATCTGCAGGCGAGACAGTTGAGCAGCAGGCCGGCCTTCAGGATGACTACGTTGTTTTTCTGTCCATGGTGGCGCTGAGTCAGCATCACTTAATAAACCCTCTGGAGGAGCCTGGATTTCTCTCGTTTAATTATCATCTTGGAGCTTTCTGAGAACTCCTGGAGGAAATGTTCATTCAGTTTTCCGCCCAAGCACAGCTGCTCTCTCACAAAGTCCTCGTTTCCCCTCTCGGTGCTAGCATCCCCTCTGGCATCGCTGGCATCCGCAGGTCACCAGGCAGTAGGTAAGCAGTGTGTGTTCCTTATGTTCTCCTGTGCGAACGTCATTGTTCTGGACCAGAGATCCGCGTGGAAGGACTTAGACACAAAGATCATTTCCTGGCAAAAACTCTTTTGCCTCCCACCCACCCACCCCCACCCTGCCCCCCCCAAAAAATTATTTTTTTCCAAAAAAAAAAAAAGGAGAAAAGACCTTCTAAAGATCAACTGACATATTTTTATGATTGAGTTGAACTTTTGTTTTGCTTTGTTTGTGTCTTCCTGTAAACAAATACTCAAATGTCCACTCTGTGCTATGACTAAGTTGGTATCATTAGGTTGGGACTGGGTGTGTGGGTAAGTGGGGGTGTGTGTGTAGAGATGTGGGTGTGTGCGCACACGTGTATTTAAAATGTTAGAAATGACATTGCAGCCTAAGGTTGAAGGAGAGATGAGTTTAAAAACAACCACCTATGTGAGGCAAGCAGGAAAGTGGGGGGACTTGTGTTTCTGTGATCTAAACAGTAATTGTAATGGGGTGCTGGCTATAAATGGACCCTTTGCATCATTGTTTCTCTGAATTAGAGGATTCCTTGCTGAAGGCACAAGACCATTGAAGGAAGTAAAGCATCTGGTTTGTTTTGTAATGAGAAGCAGGAATGCAAGGTCCACGCTCTTAATAATAAACAAACAGGACATTGTATGCCATCATCACAGGATGTCCTTCCTTCAACAGAGGACTGACTGGGGCTGGAGGAAAAGCCGGACAGGGCTCACAAAGAGCCCCACTAATTACTGCCTCTGTCTGCCTTCCACTTGCAGCCTTCGGTCTCCACGTTCTCTTTACACTTCACTCACACACTCCGCGGAAGTCTGGCTGAGGGCCGGGGGAAGGGGGTCGGCAAAGAAAATTTAATCTGTAGGATTACAATTTTTTCCTATTTCCCTATTTACCAAATAGTGGAGGGAGGGAAGTTAAGTTCTGCCAAACGTGAAGGTATTTTAGTTCGCAGGAGCAACGGAAGCTTTCAAGTTCGGGCGAGGGGAAAAACGCGCATTTCATAGGTTTGAGGACTAGACAGCCACCTCTAAAACGCACCAAAAAAAAGAAAAGATCATCCCCGAGGGGGTTGTACAGAGGAGGGGGAGTCACGGCACGCACGTTTTAGGTGCACTTTTTTAGGCTTCCCTTCCCGCCAGGAATGTGTGCGCCCCCCCCACCCCACCCCCCTCCTCATTTAAGCCGCCGCAGGAAGGAGGGCGGTCTGCAGTATTTAGAATACAATACTGTCCGGGTCCACGCCGAGGACTTTCAAGCGCCTTCAAAGGGAAATCAGGAGCTTCCAAGGCAAATGTTGAAATTCACAGGCTCGGAGAGGAAGCTCCCGGGCTGCTGCGGCTGCGGCGGCGGCGGCGGCGGCGGCGGCTGCTGCTGTTGCGGCTCCCCGGTGCGGGAGGGGGAGAGGAGGAGGAGGAGGAGGAGGAGAAGGAGGAGGAGGAAGAGGAGGAGGAGGAAGAGGAGGAGGGGTGGGGGGAAAGCCCTGGGCTGGAGCGCCGCCGCGCTCCCGCGAGTCCAGGTGTGGCCACGCCCCCACCTCGGGCAGCTGTAACAGGCGAATGGGAAATCCGAGGAGGGAGGGGAGGGGAAAGGAGCGCCTCTCGGGTTAATGCAGACTGAAAGTGCTGGGGCGCCGCGCGGCCCTCCAGTGTTGCGGAAAGGCGGCGCAGCGCGCAGCAGCACCTGTCCGCCGCCGGGAGCCGGGAGCGGGCGCGGGAGGGACGCGCGCGGCGGCGGTAGCAGCGGCAGCGGCAGCGGCAGCGGCGGCCGCCGGGGAAGCCGCGGGAGCCGCGGTGCGCGCCCGGACTCAGCCCGCGCGGGGACGCGGAGGGAAGGCGGACTGGGGGAGCGATGCGCTACACTGCTCTCCGATGTTGGATATTTGCTTGGAAAAACGTGTGGGTACGACCTCGGTAAGGAATTGCATCTTTCTTTCCTTTCCTTTTTTTTTTTTCTTTTTTGGAAATTCTGAAATTGATCAGAAAACTTTTTTTTTCTTTTTTTCCCATGTTGAGCTCCGAACCTCGCCAGAAACCAGAAAAGCGTCTGCTTCTAAGGCACTGTCAGACGTTTATAAGACTTTTATTTTTCTTCCCCCCCCCCCAGCTTCTCTTGATGAATCATTAACCCTTTCAGTTCTAGGCGTGATTTGACACAATTCATTATTGAAATTTCATTCCCTGGCTCCTGCCCACCACCACCTCCTCCTCTTCCCATCCCACGGTGGTGAGGGGGAAACGGATCGGGTTAGTTGACTTTTTTGATTTTTTTTTTTTTGCCCCGATGACGGGTTATTGATTTCTCTGGCATCGTGACTTGTATATTGTTGGAGGGAAAAAACAAGCAAGTTGGTTTTGAATCGTGACGGAAGGGGAAAGACAACTCCGCATCTAAGTTTTTTTTTTTAAAGAAGCGCGCCGGGAAGGATTATTTCTCAGATATTAGGGAAGAAATAAGAAATAGAAGGCTCAAAGCTTCCCTAAGGATTTTCATGATTATGTTTACATCTGCAAGAGGACGCCTTCCCTGGAAATGATGCCCGTGTTCCTACTTTTTATCAAACATGACTATCTGGGAAAACATTGCTCAAGCTGTTTACCCTTTTTTTTTTCTCTCTCTTTGGAAAGCACTTTTTCCAAACTGGGGCGCTGGGGTTGGAGTTGCGGGAATATCCTTATCAATATGCCAGTGGATGCATGCGGAGCCCGGCTTCCGGATCCCTCCTAAATTTGTCCTAACTTTAGTTACAGTAAACTGTAGCCCCTCAGTAACTTCTGGGAATTGGTACACTTTCAGATTTAAATGGAAAGTGCTATTTGTAGCTGAGGACTCCGAGACGAATTCTCTCCAGGGAATTCTATTGAACAACTTTATGTTTTGTTGTTTCTTTGGTTCCTTCCAATTTGGCACGAGATGCCCCCAAATCCAAAAAAAAAAAAAAAACCACCCCAACGGCTGGAGCTGTCGGCAGCCCCCACCCCATTTTTTTAATTTTCTTCCTCTTTTCCTGTGGTCCTAACAATTTCTGAAAGGCTGCGGCTCAGTGATGCCCCAGGATGCACCCTTTTTCATTATTGCGTGTGAGAGGATGAAAGAACTCCACAGTAGAGGGGGGGGGTGCGGGGGGGGGGGTGGGGGGGGAGTTGTTTTGAAAGTTGTTTTGCGTAGGGAGCTGGTGGGAAAGTTCAGTCTTCCCCATTTGGAAAAGGCAGGCTGGGTTCCGCTCCTGCACCACACGCGCTTTCCATTTTTAGCTTCATTCAGAGGCAGACAGAGCTCCTTCCTCTTCCTCTCCTTGTTTGTGACACTTTTCTGAGGCAGCTTTTCCACCAGGGCTGAGGGTCTGGCGGCCATGACCCCAGGCGCTCTGGGATCCAGGCTTCAGCGCCCACATTTTTCGACTGTGAGAGGTTAAAAAAAAAAAAACAGGGATTGATCAAAGGTGTGTTTCACCCCCCCCTTTTTTGTTTCTTACCCCCCCCCCCATGAGGTTGCCAGACTTTTTAATTATTTTTTTAAACCCGCATTTTAAATCCTTGCTTGTGGAAGACACTCTTTGTACGGCTTTTTGGCGCTTACTCAACAGGCCCAAGCATTCTGTCCGCATCTGCTTTGAAAGTCCTGGACTCCTGTGTTAGTCATCGGCTCTCTGGAGGGAGCACAGGACAATGGGGATTAAAGGCCTTTCCCTTCTCTTCCAGGCTGCCCCGAAGTGTAGTAGCTCCAGCGCTGTGAGGTTGCAAGCACTGGCCGAGGGGACCATGAAAATGGACATGGAGGACGCCGATATGACTCTGTGGACAGAGGCTGATTTTGAAGAGAAGTGTACGTACATCGTCAATGACCACCAGTGGGATTCTGGTGCCGATGGAAGCACCTCGGTTCAGGCCGAGGCATCTTTACCCAGGAACCTGCTTTTCAAATATGCCACGAACAGCCAAGAGGTAAGCCTCCCTGTGTATGGCGATTCTGGGGTGCCCCATCCCCTTCCTTGCATTGAGGCCTCAGATCTGGGAGACCCTGTTAGAAGCCACCAGTACTGGATCGCTTCATTCTGTTTTCCCTAGATTTCTGCTTCCCTCTCTCAGCCAGGCAGCCTCAGTACATCTCCGTCTCCCAAACTGGGCCACCAGGGCTCAGCTCTTCATTGGGGACAAGTTGACACATCTTGGAGCAGAATTGCTCAGGAACCTTGAGGAAGCCTCCGGCCACTGCTCACCCTGACCCTGGTCCCCTTCTTGTACAATAGCTTATGGAAGGGGGAGAAACTTTTTCTTGGAAAAAGTTTTTCCTGTTTCTTTTGTCTCCTTTTGGGCCGGAGGTGGCTTTACTCTTTTTTAACGAGCTGGCTTTATTAGCTGGGTTTCTAAAATTATTTTTCAAGACCTCAACGTGTTTATGAACTGCAGGCACGGTATAAAGCACACAGGGGTTCATGTAAAAGTGTCCTCTGTCCGATGACTTCAGCGCTAACCACTGTTTATCTGTGGCAGCTTCTTTGCTTGGGCCGGACTGGCAGGCCAATTCCTTTTGGGCCTCTGAAGTGGGTACACTCTTTGTTGTTTCAAAGGGGCTGAAAACCCAAACTTAAAATGAGCAAAGGAATCATGTTTACCCTTTTATAGAACTCTTAGAGCGCGGCGTGATGTTTAGCTGTGAAATAACTCGTAGAACCACCTCTTGTGTGGAGAAATCGGCCACTTCAGCTGCTCTGGCCAGTCCCTGCATGGAAGGAATGGCCCCTCCATAGACATTACCAGGAACCACAGGCCACTGTCAGTGCTGTGAATGCCTTCAGAAAGGGGTGAAAAGGAGATCATTAGCTGTAGAAATCCATAGCTTAATACAGGATTCATTACGGCCTTGTTAAATCACTTTCTTCCTTCCCTGAAGAAACAGCATTTGAAGGAGTCGGGAAGCCTCTTTGGGAAATACTTTGTCTCTTTCCTGTTTGTGTGTCTGAGTTCAGTGTTTTTGGTGAGGGGAAGACACAGCTGTCTAAAATTAAATCAGAACAACTCTGCTTTGAGTTTCATTAAAACGCCACCAGTGTGTGTGTGTGTGTGTGTGGTGTTTGTTTTCTCTGCTGAGAGAGTGGAGGCAGGTTTTATAAAAAGCAAAATTTAAATGGTAGTTGGACGTGAGCATTACCAAAAAATTAACCCTAGAGGTCAGCCTTAATTATACCTCTTCCTGAAAGTAACACTCTCCTGAATACAAAGTCTCTGAATATGTGTGGCCCATGGAAATCAATATAGGATTTGTTTGGGTATTTAAGGTTTAGTGGTGGCTTTAAAAGTACCCCCCCCACACACACACACACCACCACCCTTATATCAAATTCAGCCAAATATTAGTCTATGCCTAGGGGTCATTTGTTTGGTGACCATCCGGTTCATTTGGACTGAAATAAAGATCTCCCTTTGGTGGCTGTTCTTGGCCTCTGTCTTATCAACAATTCAGCTCTGTTAAAAGTTTTTCAGTTTTTACCATTCTATGGAAAGTCACAACTAAATCAGGTCCTGAGTGCCTTTAGATTAGGGAGTGCAAGGTTCAGAGACAGTCACTTACCCCTGGACAGGCGTTCACTCACTTCCTCAGCCAGTGCTACTTGATTGTGCTACAGTGGCCCCTCTTGGTGTCACTGTGGTTTTATTTATCGTCTTCACGTATTTCACACTGATCCTTTATTTAATGTGCATGGTGCTTTCCCTCCGAACCTCAAACTCCCTACTTCAATAGAGGCAGCGTCCCCAAAATATATGTAAATGCCTGTGTTCTGAAGAGAGGGTCTTTTCCAAACTATCTTGGGAGTTCAGATCAGGGTTTTCTTCCATATGTTTCCACATGTGATTTTTTTAGTTGAAATACTTGAAGAGAAATACAGTCTCAGTCCCTACACATAATAGAATCAGGAAACCCATGTAAATGACACTCTAGTGTCTTAAACTTACTCTAGAATCTGTCCCTCATTTTCTGTTTCTGCCTCCTTCCATTTATGAAATTTGGGAAAGGACAGCTCCCTTAGGGTAGAGAGAGTGCTGTGGTATAAAATCTGCAAACCAGTCCCAGGACAGAATTCTTTAGGATTGATGAAATGTTACATTTTCACTTCTCAGTTAGCCCTTTCAGTCCTGAGAGCCGTGGAAATAGTGGGGAAAAGCCTCTGTATACATGTAGGGTTTTTTTTTTCCCCAACTGATTTATCTTACCCTTGTGTAAGTTTTCTCATTTAAGTAGCAGAAGATGTTACATTTTGTACTGCTGTGCTGACATACTGGGGATTTTTTTAACAAGACCATTTTTTCGTTATGAATTTGTGCTATGTGTCAGCGCCTTTTTTTTTGGTTTAGAAACAAAACATACCAGCTATATTTCTGATCGTGACCCTCATTTTTAGATTGGGTTTAGAACTGTACTGCACTTTTAATGAGCCTGTTCTTACTTCCTATTTCCAGAACTCAAACCAAATATAGACATACTATTCAAAAATTTTTAAAGCATTTTTAACTGATGGGTTATTCTTTTAGGGGGGGATTTTCCCCTGGTCAAACAGAAATAATCTTCTCAGAGTACTTGAATGCAGATCAATTTAAACGTTTGTAGCCTAAAAACAGTGGCTTGTACGGAGATTGTTCATGTTCAAAGGCACTGTGGCCCTGGGGGTCTGACCTCCCAGAGTCATAGGGTGATAAACATCAGATGTATGATGGGGACTCCTCGGTGTCCATTTTGATTGAAGTCCATTATTAACTCAAGCCATCTACAACAAGTATCTCTCCCCAACATGCAATTCCCTCTTCTTCATACCGCCTTTTATTTAGGAGACAGTATACTGGGACATTACCATGTTTCCTTTAATATAAAGATAATTAAGGAGGAAACCGTCTAAAAACATCCCCATTCACTCCACCCCTTAAAACGGGTGGGGGGGGAATCATGAATTACAGGCTAAAAGACTCGATGTCCTTAGGAGTTCTAGTCATCTTAATGCAAATGTCCTTCCTTATATTCAAAATAGGACTTTAATTCAAAGTCGCTTTTTTTATGGGGTAGGATTCAGGGAGGGGGAGAGCCAGCTGGTACTTAAAATGACCTTCATGTCATTTGATGTGAGGATGTGCATGCCCCATTCAGACCTAAATGCTGCAGAAAATTCACCATTCTGAGCGTCCCTGATCCCTTGAAGGGGGAAATTGACCATAAAGAAGAAAAAGTGTCTGTTCTCCCAGACTTTCATTGAGGTCCCCACTCACTCCCCAATCCCCAAAGTTGTAAAGTTTTTATTTTTTAAAGTGGAAAATAAGTCCTGTTTTTAGCCCGGTGTCCCTGGACATCTGCATGTGTCCTGTAACCACTGACACTGATAACCGGAGTTCAGCTCAGCATCCAACGCTTGGTGTGGAAAAGTAGGACAGCAAGTCCAGGGCAGCGACCTCTTGGTGTGACACTTACAGGTGGCACACAACAGCCTGTCCCCCTGTCCTCCGTGGAAATTCTTTAGGACCCTGGTCAGTTCCAGTGAAGGTTCCTTCCTGAGCTAGGTGCACACATTGTTAGTGAGTTTTGTTCCCAGCGAGAGACTGAAGGCCAGCCTGCACCATACCCGATTTCTCTGAAGCACGGATTCGCTTCATGGATATAATGTGGCCTGGATCTTTCAGGGCTGGAGGGGAGAGCTCGGACTTGGTCTTCAACACTGCATTAAAAATACTCGGTTCTTACCTTTAAACACCTGGCTGAGCACCGCAATCTAACAGTTGCAGCTTTTAATGTCTTCTTGATACGAAGGTGTTTATTGTGTATTAGAAGGCAGAAGGACTGAAAATGGATATAAATTATGTAGGTGACGGGATTCCTTCCAACTCTAATTCTTAGGATTTTCTCTATCTATCCATCTGTGTATTTATTTATGTATACTCTGTAGCTCTGTGTATATGAAAGTCTTAAAATGTGAGGGTTCTGTTCCACTGGTAAGGATGGTCTAATATTGAGACTGATTTGTTTCAGGGATTTTCAGGGTTACCATAGACCTCTACTACCAAAGATTGTTTTCACTCACTCGCTTGTCTTTCCTGCTGTATACGTACCACTTACCGGTTAATAGACCAAGGGGTTTGGGCCCAGTCATGCCTTTCCCAAATTCCTTTGTAGGAACAAAATTCTACTGTGCTTCAAAAGCCCATAAGAGACTGCTGTATGTTTTCTCAGTGTAAGAGTAATAACTGAAAACCTAAAGGCCCATTGGTTAACAAAATGACAATTCTGGAGAAAAACTCTGACCTCCATGTAATGCTGCTTGTTGGTAATCAAGCTCTGACTCCCAAGACTGTCTGCAGGAGACTATAATTTAAGACAAAGTTGATGAACCAGTTGAGTGTCTTTCTTAAAATTACTGCTTTAAAGTGGATATGTTGAAAATATCAACTGCTAATTATTGGCTCACCAACAAATGACATTATTTGTTTTTCCTGCTTGTCATTTTAATATTATGGAATAATCACTCAAATATGAATTCCGAATGGTTTGCGTGTCATGGAAGTCAGTTCCATGAATTTCTTAAATTAATTAGGTTTAATAGTGTATCATAAACAATGAGCCTCTGAATAAGTAAGTATAATTAAGCTGTAGTGAATATTTTTATCTGAAGACTGTGCTGACAGAATCCTGTCCCCAGTAGCTATACTGCTAATAATGATCAATAATAATGAACTGCTACAGAAAGGGCAGATAGATGTAAATGAAGGCAGGGGAGAAGAAAAATGAAATAAACATCTGCTTTTCTCAGCTCTACCAGAAATTCATAAAAGACCCAAAATAACACTGGCTCACCAACTTGGTTTCAAGTTGCATTAGGTTTAGAAAAATTTTTTTTCTCTCTCTCTTTCCAGTTTGGATATAAATATGGCTAGAAAGAATACCCAATTTAAAAAATATTTATCGTTGATAAGAAATTACCTGAACTGTCACAACTACATAGATAAGCTTGTTCCATAGTGATTTAAACAAATTTAAATTTCCTTGAGATTTTATTAAGATATTTGTGGTGTGTGTGTGTGTGTGTGTGTGTGTGTGTGTGTGTGTGTGTGTGTGTCTATACTGATATGATATATTGATATATGGTATAACCAAAATCTCAAATTCTATCATGAACTGTTCTTGGTTTTTATTTTAGGGGCTACCATTTCAGATGCACACTTACACAGGAGTCACTAAGGATAATAGGCTAGTAGCTAAATAAAACAAATATTATATATACCTCCCCTCCGGTTCATTTCAGTAAGGTAACAATAAGTAATCTGTAGGCCATTTTGGACGTAAAGAAAATTAAAATGGGAAAGTGAGTAAATCAAAGCCAAAACAGAACTCTAACTGCAAATTGTATAAAAGATTATCTGCAGAGGAGTTCTTTTAAATAGTGATGAATTGCTTCCTGATTTGTGGTTGGTGATTTTTTTTTTGATCCCCATCCTCCACACCTTAGAGAAATTTACAATCAAGGAGGAACAGGCATAGTTAACATGTTTCTTTAGCAAGGCCCTACAAAGTCAAATGTGTGATACATCCGTCTGAGAAGGTCATTTCCTTAGATCTCAGAACCCACAGTTCCACTCTGTATAAATTCCATTTAAAAGAAGACGTGACCACAATCAAGTAGAAGATGGTGAAGAATGAAGTTTCTTGAAAATCTATTACTGAAAACCGGCAAGCTGGAAAGGAAAACAAACCAAAAAATAACTCATCTGAAATGAAAAACGTATATAATGTGTTTGGTTTCTGGTTCCTGGGGCCTTGTGGCACAACCAGAGAGCATTATTTTGGTTTTTGAGGTTAAAATTATTTTATTTCCTTCAAACACTATGTTTATGGTTTGAGGGAGAAGGAGAAATAGAAAGTGGGAATAGACTGAAGTAGTATAATCGTGACCATTTAATTCTGCAGTGTAAAACAGTTATTCTCTGTTCTCCTTGCATAAAAGGTAGTAAAAATATAGAATCCTCAGTTACTGCATAACAATCCTCTAGACTTTCTTTTGTGCTTAAAGTTGAGTGTTCTTGCTTTTGATCTGTAGCAGAGTTGAAAAGAAGAAACTTATTTTTTAAATTATGCAGACATAGGACCACCTGCTCTCCATATCATAATTTTGTCATTCTTGGTTGTATTACCACTTGACAATTCATTGAAATTAAAGTGGTTGGTTGATATTTTAGAATCAAACTAATTGTTTCTTATGTTTCACCCTCTTTAGGTTATTGGAGTAGTGAGTAAAGAATACATACCAAAAGGAACACGTTTTGGGCCTCTAATAGGAGAAATCTACACCAATGATACAGTTCCTAAGAACGCTAGCAGGAAATATTTTTGGCGGGTAAGTAAGGAAAATTTTCCAGACTCATTAAGAATAAGGGGGTGGCAGGGTTGGGGAGGAAAAGATTAGAATGACTGGATCATTTCCTTTTTAATCGGTATTGAACTCACCACCAGTAATTCGCACACAGGGAATTCTGAGCAAGTGTGATGAAACTGGCTTCGTGTTTGAGCCAGGAAGCATAGCCTATAGGTATTGGAGATAAAAACGTGGACTATATGGCAGTCAATTTTTGCAATTAATTGGAGCTTTTATTTGTTTTGCGAGGTCTTGGGGGGTAGTTTTTTTTTTTTTGGTTTGGGGGCTACCCCCAGCAATAATCAGGGCTTACTCCTGGATTTGCGCTCAGGAATTGCTCCTGGCAGTGCTCAGGGTCCTGTGGAATACTGGCAACCAGTTGTATTATCTGCTCAGCCATCTCTCAGCCCCCCCCCCCCCAAAGGAAACAGTTTGCTGCTTGCTTTAAGGGTAGCATTATTTGCATTTCTCCGCTAGGAAGTAGTGATGAGTCACCAAGTCTTAGATTTCACCTGTTCTTGATTTCTTGCTGAGTTAACTTTTAATTGAATGGAAGAGTACTCACAAATGAATTAATCAAAAGAAATGATAATTCTTAATTATGAAGGAAGGATGAGTAGAGGTTGGTATTGGTGGAATAGAGATGGAGAATAGAACTCATCCCAACCTAGTCCTGTTTTAAATGCATCTGCGACATAAAACTGACAGCATGTAGATTACTCCATGGCATAAGAAAAATGCTTACCATCATTCGAAAGGATAACAGCAAAAACTGCATTACGGTTACTTTGCCAGTACTTGCTCAGAACATGTCAGTCTTCTGGGTAACTGTATTTATAAAATATTTTCTAGTAGAGGCGAGATAGTTCAAGCGATATAACATGTGGAGCATGTCTGAAGCCTGAGTTCAGTTGTTCTTCCACCCCTACCCCAGTGCTGCTTCATCTCCCCCGCCACTTGGAAAATAAAAACCAAAGACTTATTTAGGAATTGCACCAAAGAAATGAGATTTTCACTATTTTCTAAGCTAAAGAGAGCAATGATTGTTTGCAAAGATTTGCATACTTAAAATTTTCATTTAAGAATTACTCATTCTTAATTTATATTTACGGCATGACTTATAATGGACGAAACGTGAGTGCATGCTTGCCTTTATTGCCAATAAAGTCTTAGAAGAGAAGGGAGTTTAACTCAAAGGTCTGAGTTAAAGCAGCCCCGCTAAAATTTCATTAACACGTGGTCATTTTTTTAAAAATTTTGTTTGGTGTCAAGAATCGAACCCAGAACCTCACACACAAGACAGGTGTCCCACTGCCAAGCCATCCTCCCAATCCCCCAGTGATTTTGTTTTTCTCGAAAGATAGGAAACCTAAGGATACTCATCCCTTCACAGTTCCAGTTTTTCCCATTCATTCAAGAGTCACTCTGGGTAACTGAATTACCTTCCTTGGGAGATCCTGGTAGAATCCAGATGCAAAGAATATTGTAGGAGATTCTACATCGCTTACAAAAAATAACATCCTGCTTTTTGCTGGCGGAAACACTAACATCTGTTGTGAAGAAAGAAAAAGTGTCATGCAGATTACACAGTTGGAGAAGAGAAGGGATGTGCGAGTTGAGAAACCAGTGACATTTCTTGTAACTGTACTTATGAGTCAGCACATTTTTAATCTTCGTGATAATAGATGGAAATGTCGTGAGGTGACAGAGAGCAGTGTTCGCGCGACGTAGGCATTATTTCATTGGCTTGTGGGGGTGTGTGTCTGGTGCCTGTGACTTCATGGCGTGGACATTTCTGTTTCTAAATGAGGCTAAAGTGAACTGTAGTCTGTGGAAAGCTGCCTGGAATCAACATATCCGTAGCTTTAGAAAGCAGTTTCCGCCCTCTGAACTGTGCAGTGAGCAGCGATGGCACCCCATGTTCCTGGAAGTTTGCACATCAGAGTAAACAAACTTGAAAACCCCTCTTGATAGCAGAATTCACCCAGCCTTGTTCCATTTTCTCTTAACAAAACACACCGCAAAAGCTCTCACAAGCTGCTTTGATGAAGCCACATGTATTTCCCCCTTCACAATTTACAGGAAGTTACTCTCAAAAGAAAGTGATTCTGGTGTTTACTGCCTATATTAAAGGGACAGAGTTCTTTTTCATCTCTGATAACGTTTGCGTGAACGATAGAAATGCATATTAGGCTGACATAGTCAGCTTGTGACTGAGAACCGGGCTGTAATAACTTGCTGTCCAGTTAGAGTGAAATACCTGCTACGAACCAGGCTGTGCAACTTTGAGGCTACCTGTCACAGATATTCAGGCATTGATTACAAATGGGTAAGGAAGTTTTTCAAGTCTGGAGTAAAGGTGGTGGTACTTGTTTAAATGTGAGTCTTTGGACAGATCCAGAGTTCGTAAGGTGTAGTCAGGATGTGTGTGTGTGTTTTAAGTTTTTCTCCTCTGCCTTTTATCTGAACTATGTGAGTGCAACGGCAACGGCTATTTATTACTGTGGACAAACTGAATTTTTTCATTGAGTTTTGCCTTTAGAGAATCATATCGCTTCTTCCTGGGCTCTTTCCCAAAACAAATGCTTACGACTCTGTGAGTGGCGTTTTTAGCCAAGCTCCTCGCAGATAAGAGGGTTCCCCCTCCCCTCCTTTGGCATAAAGGAAAAGAGCAAGGCTGGACATGTTTATCAAGAGGAAAAGTGACTTGTGGGTAGACGCAAATTCTGGCCTCTGTCCCTGCACTCACTGTTATGGCAGGTGAAGTTCACCTTTGTCCCACCCACTATTTCCACCAAAAGGCTGGGTTCCAAGTATTCATATGATCTAGTATGACTTTAGGACTTGGAGGGTTGGGGGTGGAGGATGTTTGCATAGTTCAAGCCTTGGGGCGGGGGTGTAGGAAATGGCAAGTACAGAGGCCATAGAAAAAAGTTGAGAGACACAGTTTGACGCATTTAGTTGGCTCAGTCTACTCCGTGACTCAAAGTATTCAAGTCAGCAGAATCAGAACTGAAGTTAACATGATCCATTTGCTGCTCTCGGGTGGTGTAGTCAGACTGAGGCAGCGCCTGATGTGAAATTCGGTGTTTGAGGCTGTGCTTCGATTGACCCCCACCCCCAAGGTGAAAAGACAATGAGCTTGAAATGGAAAGAGTAACTGACAATGTGGGCCTTAGCTGTTTCTTACCTGATTTCTGCTGATTCAAGTCTCCATCAGCTAAATGGTTCTTTCTGTTTCTAACTAGGTAATACGAGGGCCCCACATTCCAGAAGGTCTAGAATGTGGTGTATTTCTTCTTGCAGGTGCTGGGAAAGCTTTGCATTGCTTTGGGGCTGACTTTTTTTTTTTTCTAACACATCTGTCTTCTCTTTGGGCCAGATCTATTCCAGAGGGGAGCTCCACCACTTCATCGATGGCTTTAATGAGGAGAAAAGCAACTGGATGCGCTACGTGAATCCAGCACACTCTGCCCGGGAGCAAAACCTGGCTGCGTGTCAGAACGGGATGAACATCTACTTCTACACCATTAAGCCCATCCCTGCCAACCAGGAGCTTCTTGTGTGGTATTGTCGGGACTTTGCAGAAAGGCTTCACTATCCTTATCCCGGAGAGCTGACAATGATGAATCTCAGTAAGTGGATTAAAGAACAACAACAACAAAAAATGCCAGTAATGTCAGTTCTGCCCCTATGAGCTAATAACATGTTGTTTAATTATATGGCTTCATCTGTTGGGCCAAGTAGGTGGCTTAAACTAGGGACTAGGCAAAGGGGAGAGAAAAGTTAGTCCCTTTTCCTTATTTTGAAATTTAATCAGTTTTAAAAGTATTTTGGATGCCTTTGAGTAGATTTTTTAGAAAGGTGCAGGAAGACATATATATATGAATATATAAATATGTATGTATAGTCACATATATATTTTAGTTCTGATGTATTCAAAGAGGATGGAGAGAGTAGGATGAGAACTGTTCCTGACGTGCCAGGTATGCAAGGTAGCACCCCTGGCTTGTGGTAATATATTTGTACTTAAAAAGTGTTGGCCTATTTTGGTGCTGGGAGTTTGATCACGTTTTGATCTGCTGTGAACCATTGTTAAATTTATGTAGAAAAACATAGTTACGAATTTTCAAATATTCTAAAATAACTGTAAAGATAAAAGATATTTATCTTCCTTATGGTAAAACCCTATCTTATCTCCTCATCATTATTACCGTAATCTCTTGTCATTTTATCTTAACAAATTTTCAGTTCCTTACATTTATAAGCTTTTACTTTTTTTTTTTTTTTTTGGTTTATATTTTTAGTTTTGCTTTTTTGAGCTACACTCAGCCGCACTCAGAGCTGACTTCTGATTTTAAGCTCAGGGATCCTTCCTGGCAGGCTCAGGTGACCATAGGGGCTTCCAAGGATTAAACGGTTTTTAAAATTCCCCTTTTGGTTTAAAACTTTCTACATCCAGATGCTAATATGTGATAATTTTTTCTTTTGATATCATTTTAAACTTGAGTTGTGTGGGTCATCTGAATAATGCCCTGGTACCCACCCTTTACTCAGATTTACTAATCATTGACGGCCTAATCATTTGCTTTGTTTGAGGACTAAATGTAGGGCTTTTGTTGGTGGTGGTTGGTTTGTGGGCTGTGCCTGGTGATGCTCAGGGGTTACTCCTGGCTTTGTGTTCAAGAATTACTTCTGGCAGGGTTCGGGGGACTATATGAGATGCTGGGAATTGAACCTGGGTTAGACACATGCAAGGCAAGCATCCTACTGTTATACTATGTTCCAGCCCCACTAAATGTAGTTTTGATTCACATTTTGTCTTTGGAGATAATGTGGGGTAAAAGTCAACATAAACTTAAGTTAAATTTTTAACTTGAATTTTAGAGGCAGTTATCAAATCAGCTATGTATCCTTGTTTGGCAGACTCTAGCTCTGTGGTTAATTTGATGTTGCTCATTTCCCAGTGAGTCTATGAACTCAAGAGTATACTTGTGTTCTGAAATTTTGGGACAATAAAAGCTTTTAAGGAAAAGTAGTTTTGGTCCTTCAGGAAGAAATTTTGGACAGCTCAGAAACAAACTGAACTCCAACAAGAGCAGATGGGTACAAATGGTGACCAGAGGTGGTTTCTGTCTTCCTCTTCGGCAGTCCAAGAATCTCTTTCCTTTCACTTAGGTCAGATACCCTGGTGATTCAGTCCAATATTCCAGTCTGTGTTCATGGAGGCCCTTTGCTTAGGGCCTGGTGAAAAGGTTTCTGTTCCAGCAAGACATCCCACAAGAAGATTTGCTTGTTCTCCTAACTTGGTTGGCATAGCAAGTCACTTCCTCTAGGGGGGTTCTCTTATATTATTTAAACTTAATTAATTCATGGATTCAGAGAGAATCTTTGATATTAAAAACAAAGTGCAATAACCTTACTTGACCTGATCCACCTCGATGCCTTTACACCAGCCATACCAGAGCTTTTTTGTGTACTTTTGTCTCCTGCCAAAGAGAGGTTTCAAAGGCCTTGCATTCAGCAACTGTAATAGGATTTGAGTAGCATTTTACAGTCCAGTACTTGATTTTCCTGGTGTTTGTTGTTCAAAAGTGACTTTTATGCTTCTCGTGAAGTGATTTTTTTTGGTGGCCTCAAATATCCCTTTTTTCATTTTTCAAACTTTTAACTAAATGGGGACACAACATTTTCAGATGAGCCTTTCACTGACCAGTATTCAGAGTGAAGGCTGAGAGTTAATAATAACCAGTCGCGTTAAGCCAAGACGACTGCTGCTGATTGTGAAACGAGTTGTCTTAGGTGTGGTGGCTGATGATTGAGACTCCGATCAGGAAATTTTCCACTATTTCATCAGGCCTAATAGGTAGATGGTGTCTTCAAATGAGTCGAGTTGGGTTTCCGTGCTTCAAGCATAATAGAAGTTCTGTGTTGGAATCGCCAAGTGCGGGCTTCCGGTGGCAGTTGTGGCTTGAGAAGAGATACCAGGAATACTGAAATATAAATAAAAATAAGTAGACAGGACTCACAAATAGGCATCTTCATAAAACCGAAGGAGCGAGAGCTAGTCAGATTACCTCCAACCTACCCCTCTCCTGCTTCTTGCTCTCCCCCCGCCCTTTTTTTTGCCTGTATGTATCTTACTAACCCATCTAGAAAACAGTTGACCAAATTATAGACTTCTAAATGTTAATCTGCTTTCTCAGTTTCAGTTGAAAACAGACTTTGTTTTGCCTACTGCAGAACTTCTAGGTTCTTTCTTGTAGTCTTTGGGGGTTCTTATTATAGATCGAAAATGTGAGTCGGCATAATTAAGCCATTCAGAGCCTTCAGAAGCAGTTCACTCTTGAAATGACTCCGTCCGCCTACAGCCATTTAAGATTTAAGAACAAAAACAGATCTTGATTTTCTTTTTCATGTTAACTCAAATTGCTGCTGAGTGGGAGAGTTAGAAATGACACTGACTCCACTGATTACTCAGCTGCTGAAGGATGATTTTTTTGAGATGGACTTTCATAGGACTACATAATTTCCAGCTTAGAATATGGCCGGGGGAGGGGGGAAGGGAGGGAGCTAATGTTTCCCTGTGGATATTGTTTTTGGAGTAAGATAGGCATCTGTTTTTGTGAAGGCATACGCGAGAGCAAACATTGTGGATAGGTGGCATGCCAGGCACGGCTGTTCTACATAGAGAATATACAGTCTAGCTTTCTTGCTTGTGACTCCCATCATTAGCTTAGTTTCAGTTCAGCGATTGGATTATCAAGGTTCTGAATGTGAGCGCCTAACTGAGAGTAAGGCTCTGTGCTAGGAATGGAGTTGGTCGTTTTCCTGCAGACTTTGTTGAAAAGAACCAAAATAACCACTGGAGAAGTTATGAGACTTAGATCGTTTGCCACAGGAAAATGATAGAAAGTGGTGACAATGAAAATCCTGTGTTTTTGCTCGATGGGGGTGGCGTCTCTCTTGTTAATGATGTGCCGGGCTCTGTGCAAATCCTTCCAAATCATTTCTTTTTCGCCTCTATAAAATTCCTTCCTGTAGCTGTGAGATGCTCGGCCTATCAGCTTCCCAAGTGAGTTGTCTCTTCCTCAACCATTTCAGCTTTAAAAAACAAAAGTGACAATTTGAACTTCCTGCCTGCTGGGCCTCATTGAAAGACTGATATTGGCCTGATAAGGGGGTATTTATTTTGGTTTAGTGGCTTCAGAAATCCCTCTCCCTCCACAAGCTTTCCATCACTGCCCCCATCAGCGTCTTCCCTGATAGCAGTGGCCTGGCTGTGTTTATTCTGGGGCTGCCGGCTCACCCGGGAGTTACTGATAACAGCTCTCGCCAGAGATAACATTCTCCGAGGGGCTCGCTCATGGCATCAGATCCCTCAAGCCTGTCAGCCAAGAGAATGCATTTGAAGAGTTGAGAATCTGGAGTTCCATCCAGTGCATTTCTAGACCTATCAGCTAGCAAACCTAAAAAGCTGGGGTGCTTTCTCAGCTCATTCAATCGGGGAGGCTTTTTTCTTTTTTTCTGGGGTGCTTTCTCAGCTCATTCAATCTGGGAGGCTTTTTTCTTTCTTAAAGATGACAAATGACTATTAAGGGGGGGGGGGGCGGGACAGGCTCCAGCATCATCTGCCATACCTGTGCCCTTTGTATTGATGGTATGTGGCAAGCATAGCTGCCTTTCAGACCTGTATGCACCCTTGTAGCTCTAAAGCCGGGCACAAACTCTTCCTGCCTCTTAAACCATCTGCACGGACCAATGATGGCTGTTCTGGCCCCTTACTCCAAGAGCAGGTGTTGGGTGGGACCTGCATTCCTGCCCAGTCTTCCTCAGGCAGGCTGAGCCAGGAGATGGAGCCTTCTGGATTCCCGTGGTGCTTTCCTGAAGGGCATCCCTGGTTCAGTGTGTCGGAGGCATGAGGCTGACTAGCAGCGCAGAGCATCATCAGCTGCCTGCCCCACCCCCACCCCCAGCCTGCTGCCCTCCCGTGCAAGGCTTTCATCTCGGCTGCCTGTTTTCTTTGGTGCTCTAAGTAATTGAACTGGCTCTGGGAGTACCTGTTGTGGTTTGGCAGCCGGGCTGTCTCACACCCCTTGTGATTTCAGGGGAATGCAACAAGGAGCCTGGTTGGCCCTGGCAGGATGCCTGGGTGAACTCCCTGTGGTCAGCAAAATCAAGGGGCAGGGTGGCACCCACAGGGCTCACCTGTCCAGTGGGCCTCAGCCATTTGAACAAGGATTCAAACAGGAATTCGGTGAATGCAGGCAGAAATGGACGACTGCTTAGGATGGGAAATGAGAAAATAAGTCTTTTGTTTTTGTTTTATTTGGGGACTGCCCCTGGTGGGGGCTTAAGTTTCCTTCCTAGCAGTGCTCAGAGGACTGTATTGTGTGTCAGGGATGGAATCTAGGTAGGCTGCAGGTCCTTTACCTGCTGTTCTACTAACTCCAATACTTAGAAATGAGCCAGAATCTTTTACCTCTCATTCTCAGGGTGTGTTGATTTCCCTTAAGTAAACTGCTAACATCACAGTGGCTCTGGGTAGTCTGTGACACACCAGCCCAATATTTTTCTTCTTTTTATTTTCTTTTGGGGGGGGGCCACACACTGCAATGGTTAGGGGTTACTCCTGATAACTACACTCAGGAATTGCTCCTCAAGGTGCTTGGAGGATCATATGCATGGCAGGGATTGAACTCAGGTTGGCTATGTGCAAGTACATTACCCTTTGTGCTACCTTTCTGTCCCCATCTACCCTAGTATTTTTCTACCCTCTTTTTTTTTTTTAATCTTGGTCATGGGGTTGCAGGCCATGCCCAGCCATGCATGAGGGTGCTCTAAGCTCTCAGGTCAAAAGCTTCTTCTGGAGGTGCCCATGTGTGTGACACAAGGAGGTGAGCCCAGGCCTCCGATATGCAAAAGCATGTCCCCATCTTCTTGAACCATCTCTCTGGCTCTTCCATCCCTGTTAGGCAGTATCTCCTCACAAGAACAGCACTTTCTGGCATAAAGTGGAAATTAAATCATGCAGACACTGCTAGGTGAATGGGTGCTGGGGAGTGGACTGTGCCGGGTTTGGAGTGGCCTAGGACCATCATGTGTGACAATCTCGTTTGGTATCTCGGGTTTTCTCTACAAGAGAGAAGCACTGTGGCAGTTTCAGCGCCAGTTCTCTTTTTCTCTGAATGACCCCCTTCCCTTTTTTCCCCCCCTCAGCACAAAGTCAGAGCAATCCAAAGCTGCAGAGCATGGAGAAGAGCGACCTTTGCCCCAAGTCCATGCCCAAGAGAGAGTATAGCGTGAAAGAGATCCTCAAGCTGGACTCCCCTCCCTCCAAAGGCAAGGACCTGTACCGTTCCAACATTTCACCCCTCGCTCCGGAAAAGGACGCCGAGGACTTCAGGAAAAACGGGAGCCCTGAAATGCCCTACTACCCTCGGGTGGTTTACCCCGTCCGGGCCCCTCTCCCAGAAGACTTTCTGAAAGCATCTCTGGCCTATGGCATGGAGAGGCCCACCTACATCACCCACTCGCCCATCCCGTCCTCCACCACTCCCAGTCCCTCTGCCAGAAGCAGTCCCGACCAAAGCTTCAGAAGCTCCAGCCCCCACAGCAGCCCGGGGAACACCGTGTCGCCCCTGGCTCCAGGCCCTCATGAACCCCGGGACTCGTATACCTACTTGAACGGGCACTATGGCACTGAGGGCTTGAGCTCCTACCCCGGCTACCCACCTGCCCCTCACCTTCCCCCCACCTTCCTCCCCTCCTATAACCCTCACTACCCCAAGTTCCTGTTACCCCCCTACGGCATGAACTGCAACAGTCTCGGTTCTGTGGGCAACATCAACAGCCTCAACAACTTCGGCCTTTTCCCACGCCTATACCCCGTCTACGGCAACCTCCTTGGCGGAGGCAGCTTGCCTCACCCCATGCTCGCCCCGGCCGCTCTCCCCAACTCGCTACCTTCCGACGGGGCCCGGAGGTTGCTCCAGCCTGAACATCCTCGGGAGGTGATCGTGCCCGCACCCCACAGTGCCTTCTCCCTCACCGGGGCTGCTGCCGCCGCCAGCTTGAAGGACAAAGGGGGTAGCCCCACCAGTGGCTCCCCCACGGCAGGCACAGCCGCCACCTCCTCCGAACACGTGGTGCAACCCAAAGCTACCTCAGCAGCCCCCAGCAGCGACGAGGCCATGAATCTCATCAAGAACAAGAGGAACGTGACCGGCTACAAGACCCTGCCCTACCCGCTGAAGAAGCAGAATGGCAAGATCAAGTACGAATGCAACGTGTGCTCCAAGACCTTCGGGCAGCTCTCAAATCTGAAGGTAGGTCTTGAAAAGAGCTCAATGGAATGTTCCACTAGTGTCCATGACGGCCTGGGAGTCTTTCTTGTTTTGGGTTTTGAAGTCACACCCAATGGTGGCTTAGGGGAGTCACCCCTGGCCATGCCTGTGTTACTATGCAGTGCCAGGGGTTGAATCCTCCCACGGGTAAAGCACATATTCAGCCCCACTGAGCCATCTTGTCTGTCCAGCCGTACCTTGGCCTGTTTGGAGCTCAGTTGCTACTGTTGGCAATGGCTTCCCTGGGACCAGGATTCTGACTCAGTGGTAGAGGGCATATGACACATCTGGCCCACTAGAGCTAGTGGTTGGCTCCCAGGGGCAGGGGGAGCATGGGGTGTATGGGAGAACTGGTATCTCCGTGAATGAGACCCGGAGAGAAAGCATTCGCTGTGGGCTGAACTGCTTTTGTCAATTCCAACAAAAGTAGTGGACTTTGGACAAGTTTCTTCCCAGAGCAGCTGGGGCAAGCTCCTGGGTGACTTGAGAGCAAAAAAGAGTGGGGACAGGACTAGAAGCTCCATTTAAAGTCCCAGTTAACCTGGTACGTTTTGTTCATTTAGCACAAACAAAACCAAGCATCTGGAAAGGCCAGGGCTTTGTTCTGTGCAAGATTTCACCTTGATGTTTTCCATTTTTGGTTGTGGGGGAGGTAGAGGAAGGAACACCACTCTTGGCGGTGCTCAGGCTTCCTTTATTGCTAGCTCTGTGCTCAGGGATCACTTCTGGTGGTATTTAGGGGGGCTATCTGCAGTGCCAGGGTTGGAACTGGGGTCTGCAGCATGCAAGGCAAGTTCCTTAATCCCTGTCCTCTCTCCAGTCGCTCATCTTAATGCTCTCTACTTCCCCCATATTCTGCTTGGTTTGTTGTTATTTTTGTGGGCGGAGGTGCAGTGAGTACCCGTGTTCAGGGACTCTTTCAGTTTGGTGCTTTGGGGAGCTGCCTCCCCAAAAGTGCATGCAGAGCGTGCACTCAGCCCCCTGGGCCACTCTCTGACCCTTGATTCCTCTTTAAAGATGTCAGCATCTCCAGTAGCCAAGTCTTCTGAGCAGGAAGGTTGGTTGGCTAGTTATGGCTCAGCTAATGCGTGTGGCTTCTTCCCAGGTCCACCTCAGAGTGCACAGTGGAGAACGGCCTTTCAAGTGTCAGACCTGCAACAAGGGCTTCACTCAGCTGGCCCACCTGCAGAAACACTACCTGGTACACACAGGAGAGAAGCCACATGAATGCCAGGTGGGCAGGATTTTCGGGGTAGAACTTCAGGCCTTGGTATAGAAAACACTCGCTCGTGGCAGCCCGTTGTTCCTACTGGTCCCCACCCCAAGTGCTGACCGCCCTGTCGCTGCTTTTGAGCGGAAATCCTGACGCTGCAGCGGGTGGGGAAGAGATCGGGGAGATAAATACCAGCTTGTGGGCCCAGGTCGACCAGTTGGCTTGATGCCATCCCAAAGGTGTGGGGTGTCACGTGGGAGGTCAGCCCCGGCGCCTCCCGTGGGCCTCCCCGTCACCTCCCCTCTCATCCCGCAGGTTTGCCACAAGCGCTTCAGCAGCACCAGCAATCTCAAGACCCACCTGCGCCTGCACTCAGGCGAGAAGCCGTACCAGTGCAAGGTGTGCCCTGCCAAGTTCACTCAGTTCGTGCACCTGAAACTCCACAAGCGCCTGCATACCCGGGAGCGGCCCCATAAGTGTGTGCACTGCCACAAGAGCTACATCCATCTCTGCAGCCTCAAGGTCCACCTGAAAGGGAACTGTCCCGCAGCCCCCGCCCCGGCACTGACGCTGGAGGACCTGAGCCGCATCAACGAGGAGATTGAGAAGTTTGACATCAGCGACAACGCGGACCGGCTCGAGGACGTGGAGGACAACGTGGACGTGACCTCCGTGGTGGAGAAAGAAATCCTGGCCGTGGTCCGGAAGGAGAAGGAAGAAACGGGCCTGAAAGCATCTTTGCAAAGAAACCTGGGACCCGGACTCCTATCAGGGTGCAGCCTCTATGAGTCCTCGGACCCGTCCCTCATCAAGTTGCCTCACAGCAACCCGCTACCTCTGCTACCTGTAAAGGTCAAACAAGAAACAGTCGAACCGATGGATCCTTAAGATTTTCAGAAGACTCAAAGTGTTGTGTTGTGTTTCTTAACTTATGACTGGGCGAGCCAGGGCACATGTGGCTTGTACGTAATTCCAGTTTCACAAAGCTCTCCCGCCGTAGATGGCCTCCCCAAACCTCGCTGGAATTAAAGAAGGAACTCCAAAGTTACTGAAATCTCAGGGCATAAACGAGGCAGACAATATATATACGTATTTTATATATATATATACATATATATACTTATTTACACCCCATCTATATATTTGAACCTGTGTATTTTGAACATTTTGTGTGGATATGTTTGCATAGCCTTCCCATTAGTAAGACTATTTCCTAGCCATAATTATTTTTTCAATGATAATCCTTCATAATTTATTATACAATTTATCATTCAAAAAGCAATAATTAAAAAGAGTTTACAATGACTGGAAAAATTGTTTCTAATTTGAGTATATAAATGTTATATTTTTTTTTTGTCTTGTGGCCATTCTTTGTAGATAATTTCTGCACATCTGTTTCCGTATCTACAATGTTGGTAAGATTTAGTAGGCAGAGACAATTAGTTCATTTGACCTCCCTCTATAATAATGGTTTGGTGTCGCCACGGTCAGACAATCGATGTGTTCATCTTGGAGTCATATCATTTGAAGAGCATTGTGTAGTAACTTGGGGGTATGTGTGCAGAATTACCCAATAATAACTTCTGTAGGAAAATCAAGGGAATCGCAAATATCCTTGTAGATAGTTCAGTTCCCAGCCGCAGTTTACCAGAAAGACAGAAAGCCTTGCCAATCTGTGTCTCTCCAAAAATACAGGGTCACCTCCCCCCACCCCAAAGTCCTGTGACTTTTGCATCCCAATGTATTATCTGAAAATGTGAAGAAGAAATGCCATGTTTGAAGTCACTCGAAATGCATCCCTCAGCATGAGTGGCTCTGTATATGAGGTTTGGGGGCTTGAGTCCACATGTTGTTTCTTGTTGTTGATTTTTGTTGTTGTTTTGTCCAAATTGCACAAAAATGGTGCTCTGCCAGGAAGGATTTGAGGTCGATGAGGCTCAGGCCACTCTTCAGCAACAAATAAGTGAAAAAACGGGTATTCTCGTTGTCTTTGGGTAAAAGCGGGTAACGAACATTCCTATCCCCAACACATCAATGGTGTTTTTTTTTTTCTGTAAAACTCCGGTTTTCCTCAGTATTTGTATTTTTACATTTTGTGGTTAATTTAATGGAAGATGAAAGGGCATTGCAAAGTTGTTCAACAACAATTACCTCATTGAGTGTGTCCAGTTTTGCAGGTATTGGTGTCTTATAGAATGATTTGCTACCCTCGAGGAGAAACCATGTGTACTCCAAAAAGGTAGAATGTGCCATTCTATCTTCTACTCTGCTAAGCCCAAAGATTATGTGTTGGCATTCAAGGTGTAGCAAAAGAGTGATGTATATTTATAAATCTATTTATACCACTATACCACGTGTATATATAATATATTTATAACCACTTAAATTGTGAGCCAAACCATGTAAAGGAACCTACTTTTCCTAAGGCAAGAAAATAAAAACTCACCCTTTCTGAAACTTTGCTCAATACTTCCTGACCTCACGCTGACACAGGTGCATGTGGGCATCTCCTGCCTGTTGTAAGACCCCACAACCTTAGTGCCGAGGGTGGGGACGTAATGACCAGGGAAAAAGAGTCCATCATTTTCCACGGTTAAGAACCATGGCTTTATTTTTGTTGGGTCACGTAATTAACGTGGTCACACCAAATCACAAAAAACTTACATTACTACTTTCTTCTCACCATTAACTCCTCTCTTCCTTTTTCTCCTTCCTAAATAACTGATGTATCACTAATCAAGGTGGTTCATAGAGTCAGCATTGTGTCATGGCAACTAATGTCATCTTGCAGAAAACAACTGCAGGATAATCCAGGGAAACCTCAGAGCCTTACTAATGTGTTCCTGTAAGTGGTAAAAACTATTTGTTTTGAGCCTCAGTGTTCAACAAATAATCCTTAATTGCAACAAACCAAAGCCATCTCATTGACATGGACACCGAGTACTTTGCATTCCAAACTACTTGTTGGTTCTTTTCTCCTGCTCTGTTTTCTTAAAGTTGCAGGTGTTTAGCGATGTCTACCTGTACAGTGGCTTTAGACTCCTTGCTTCTCTTTACCTGTGACCCTTCCCATCTAGGCCTCTTACATGTGAATGTTGAGCCCACAATCAGCAGTGGTTTTATATTTTCTTCCCTCTCCTCAAAGTTAAAACTGACCAAAGTTATTGGCTTTTTACTTTGCTAGAACAACAAACTATCTTATGTTTACGTACTGGTTTACATTGTTATTTATGTGCAAATTGTCAAAATGTAAATTAAATATAAATGTTCATGCTTTACCAATGCTTGTTTTGGGTCTTGTGTGAAGGCCAGTGAACAACATCATAGGGGAAAGGGCGGGGGTTCCCAACAAATCCTGGACGGGATCTGATTATGTCTCCCCTGGCCCTTGAGCAGGGGTGATTCCATGATCTCCTACTCCCACCTCCATTAGGGATAATACATGTGAGTGATTTCACTACCTTCGTCTGTGGTCTCACCTATCAACAGTGTAAAGTTTCTCTTTAATTACGAGCTAGAAAGTGTCCTCTCAATCGATGGGAGATTAGCTTGCTTGCCTCTGTGACTCTGATTTGGGTGTGGGGTGGTGAAAAGGTAAGGAAGATCAATTCAGTCCAGAAGTGCCTTTTACGGGTGTGTGTGTGTGTGTGTGTGTGTGTGTGCGCGCGCGCGCGCGCGCGCGCTCTGCCCATTAGGAACATTTTTGCTAGCCCCAAGGACATCACAAGGAATGCAGACATGAGTTTCTATATAGCCTTTCTTTCCTACATCACATCTGGGAAAAAAGATACCACTTGCACATTTAAAATTAATTTTTCAGGAACTGAAAAGGTTATAGTGGATAGAGTGCTTGCCTTGCACACCACCAACATAGGTTTGATCCCCTTCACCATATACAGGCCCTGAGCACTGCCAGGAGTGATCCCTGAGCACAGAGCCAGTAATAAGCCCTGAGTACTGCCAGGTGGAGCCCAAATCCCACCCCATTCCCCTAAAGAAATGATATAATCAAAACTTTAATTTTTAATACTATGTTATTTGTATCTGGGCATTATCAATACCAAAGTGGGCTTGGGTCAGAAAGTCCTGAGCAAGGCTTAGGAGATGAGAGGATGTCTACTGGTTTGTGCACTGATGCTCCAAAAACAAACCCATCTTCGTGCACAAATGAAAAATCAAGTATATATGAGATGTGAGTAGGAAATGCTTCCTCAAAAATGCTAGAGGCCTAATAAAAAAAGAGAAGCCCATTGCGTTGATTCTCATGCTTGCCATATCACCCAAGACAAAGTTAATCATGCCACGCCAGTGGCATATTAAGAAGAGAATGTTCCTTCTTACGTTTGGACACTCAAAACTCATTTTTAAAAATTGCTTCTTCTTTATATTCACTTAAACATCTGTGCCAAGAATTTGAAATGCTGCCAACATGTAACTGTGGAGTTAAGAAAACCAGAACACTGTTGTCATAAACGTGCCAAAGAGTGCTGGTTGCACCACTAAATTCTACAGAACCACTGTGGTAATAATTTTGCAAAACAGCCCAGTAAGATCCAGAGTGTAGCACTTACGACCATAAATCATATTTTTTTCCTTGGCAAAGCACATCTTTTCTTTTTCTTCTTGAAATGCATATATCTTGGGAACACTTGTGGATTTACCGGTTTAATGAAACATTACATGAAAAGATAATATTCACTGGGAGCTCCAGTCCACTCACCCTACAGCCATAATATTGGATAGAGGCTTCATGCAGCTGTCTGTAGGCAAGTCTGAAGAGCTCATCCTTTCTCTCCTTGAAATAAAGTTTTATTCAAGGATACCCGTGATTGCCAGTCACAAAGCAATACACAGAACACACACTTCCATGGACCTATGGACTTAGTTCTGGAATTTTTTCCCTTTGTGGTATAGGTAAACAATCAAAAGCCCATAAGTTTGGATGGGTTGTGAGTGTGTGTGTGTGTGTGTGTGTGTGTGTGTGTGTGTGTGTTGTGTTGGGTTGTCTTCTTTAAAAGGGGATAATATAAGGCCAAGTGATATAGCTCAATTGGGAGAACCCCAACTTGGCAAATAACCTGATTTCAATCCCAAACTCCACATGACTTCAGAAGCACATCATATGTATTCCTGAGGAATTCTGAACACTTCTGGGAATGGCCCTCAACTTGAGGACAATTGGGGTGCCTCCCACGGGGTGATTAAGAAGTTGGGGAGGCAGTAATTCAGCCATCCAGGGAAGAAGGGTTCCACCATATCCAAGGCCAGAGGATGTGGTTGGGCCAGGCAGTGCCAGGACCCATCAGGTTTACTTCGGTCATACTTGAGGGTCTCCAGGAACACTCTTGGCAGTGGTGCTCAGGAGATGGTATGATACTGAGGATTGAACCTGGTCTTGCATATGCCCTAACCCATATCTGTCTCCCCAGACTGCCTCCCAATCTTGTTTAAAGGGGTTTATTGGCACAAGCCAGAGCAGGGAAAATGGCCCCCCTTAACCTTCATGACAGCAGCCAGCAGGCAGGGGAGTTCTTGTGGGCGGACTCCGCTTTCTACTTGAGTGTGAGTTTCATTGTGATGATTTGCCATCACAGACACGGGTGGGCCCTTGCATCCCCAGCATACGTGTAGGTCGGGCGACTCTCTCACTTGCTGATACTACAAAGCACAGAAGCCTCAGAGGACACAGAGTGCCAGAGAAGGAAGGTGTGGGAAAATTGGGGGCTGACACTCCCTACCCCTCCCAAGCCCCCAAATAAAATTAAATAAGTTAGAGATAGCACAGCGGGTAGGGCGTTTGCCTTGCACGCAGCCAACATGGCCGACCCGATTTCGATTCCTCCGCCCCTCTCGGAGAGCCCGGCAAGCTACCGAGAGTATTCGATATGCCAGACACAGTAACAACAAAGTCTCCAATGGAGACGTTACTGGGCCCGCTCGAGCAAATCGATGATCAACGGGAGGGCCTTTACTTACTTACTTACTTACTAGAGATGTATAAGGCCGAGGATTTCTAAATACAAAAAGATCCCTGTAGGATAACCTAGCCTGGAAATAAGGCCTATACACAGAAGGAGACAGCTGAATAGAATAATGACTAACAGGAAAGAGAAAATGGGATTGTTGAACCAGTCAAGAAGAGGGTTTCAGTTCCTATACTCAACTATGGAGCTGTTCATAAAATGTCTATCTCACTGACCACTTAGAGTCAGAAGACTTCAGGTTCTCCTGAACAGTGGCTATCTGGGTAAACCAAGTCGAGAGTTCTGGGGATGGATCCAGAGATATAATACAGTAGGTAAGGTGCTTTCCTTGAGCACAGCAGACTTGGCATCACATAGGGACCTCCACCAGGAGTGACCCCTGAGTGCAGAGCCAGGAGTACGCACTGCTGAGTGTGGCCCCGAAACAAAACAAAAAGGAAGATTTAAAAAAAAAAAACAGAGTTTGGGGGGGACAAACAGAAATGTTTCAAACCCATGCCCCCCAATCTCCATCACAGACTTTTTTCAAGTTCCAAGTCCTCAGCTCCCTCAAGTCCATTTGCTCAAAGCACTGCTGACAGCTGCTCCTGAAATAAGTGAGAATGATTTTAATCTAAATACAGCCTTAATCATGTCATTTAGGCAAAAAGCACAGCAAGACTCCAAAGAGCTGTTTTTAACTGAATTTATGCAAATATACTCCCCACCCAGTTGTGTACTATAAATTGACAAACTCTTTCCTACTCTGCTCTGCCTTCCAGGTTTGGTGAATGTTGAACCCCATGTGGCCACACACCCATGTCTTTCTTTCTCACTTTTAGAAACTTTTGTTAGCTTCAATGTCAATGTCTTTGTAGATTTTTCCTACCCCCGTTTTTAAAAAGGTAACAGGTTATTCTGCAAGTAGGAAATTCTTGTAAAAAATTACCCAGGGTCAAGGCCATCCTTAGAGATAGTAGAGTGGGTAGGGCACTTATTTTGCATGCAGTTGACCAGGTTTAATACCCAGCACCTCATATGTTCCCTGAGTCCAGCTAGGAGTGATCTGAGTGCAGAGCCAAGAGTAAGCCCTGAGCACTGCTGGGGGTAACCCCCCCCCACCGCCCAAATATATAAATAAATACATCCTCCAGAGTGCTAATGAAATGCTAATTGTTTTCATGGCATTGTGGTAAAACTCATTTTGGAGATCTGAAGGATTCACCTGTGGATCATGGAAACAGCTATCCCCCAGGAAGAAGAAGAACAGAGCAAAGGAGAGGAAGTGAGATGGGAGCAGAAGGGACTTTGACTTAAGTCACAGAAAGATGAGTGCCTCCCTTGAGGATCATTAATACCATGACTTTCTTTTCATGGAAAAAAAGGAACACACTAGAGGAGTCCATTTGCTTGGAAGCACAGGATTGACAAAGTGCCCTTCCTACATCTATGATTCAATAACTTCCATCAACCTGAACGTCCATAGGAGTACTAGGAGAGAGTTGGCGCTTCCTTAATGAGACTTTATTTTTGTATCTTGATACAGAGATAAAGACAGATCTGGGGAGCTGTCTAGTTCTGAGCAATCTGGGCTACCCTAAGATGAAGGACGCTGTTATCTTTGTATCACCAGAGCAGATAGAGCGATTTCCTTGCATGCAGTTGATTCGTGTTCAATCCCCAGCACCCCACATGATCCCAAGTCTGCCAAGAGTGATTCCTGAGCACAGATCCAGGAAGTCAGTCCTGAGTACTGCTGGGTGTGGCCCCCAAAGAGAATAAAACAAAACCAAACAAAAAAAGATTTGTAAATAAATTTCCCATTTGAGTTCCTTCCCCCCACCCCCGACCCCCTGGAACCCGACCTCTGAAAGAGGTGTGAAGAGACAAGGTGACTCCCCACCTGTCACCTGCAGAGCCCACTTTGCCCAGGAGAAGCCTGTTCTTCCCGGGTGGGGTGAACCGGCTTTTCCTCCCTCCCCACACCAGCTCTACTTCCCCAAGTACCATTTCCCATCCACACAGAAAAAGGAAGTAGGATACACCCAGGCCCCTTACTGTGCAACCCTCCTGGTTTTATTGCATCCTCAGTTTTAGTTCATTGAACCTGGGAGAAACCAGCTAACGACCATCAGTGACTTCATGACAGTGGTTTTGGCTTCCTGACAGAGTAAAAGAATACCCAAGCATACTCTGGAGTGATGAGCACCTACTCTCCTACAGAGAACAGTGAACTTGGGGGTCAGGAACTTAGTTCTAGTCGTGGGTCAGCTCTTAGAACGAGGCCTAGAAAGTTTTGAGAGGCCG